TGGAACAAAATGGAAAATATGTCATACAACAGGAACTAAAAAAAGATGCAGCCTAGGTCGTCTAAGAAATGGGTGCAACATTGATAAAATTCTTCATTGAATGAGTTCTGCAAATACTTTTGATAAAATGTGTGGTGATTATAAGGAGACCACTTTACTATAAAATTGCTCAGGATTCCCTATCTGGACCTGTCAAAAAATCCTGACTGCACACCAACAATGAGCATTAAATCCAAAACCTCTACCAGGTACCTAGGGATAATTAAATTCTGATTCAGGAAAATATTTCACATCATACAAATAAAAAACCTTTAATATATTGAAACTGAAAATGTGATGCCGATCCAGTGACCTAAGGGCCTCAAAGTATAATAATGAATAAATCTATTATAAATTTGGTGGTGACTGCCGACTGGCGTCTGGCGGCCTAGACCTTCATGAAGGTCTAGGCCGCCAGGTTTGAGCCTGCAGGCTCAAAAGTGGCCTTCCTTTTCCGCTGACTTCGATCCTCCAGATGGAAATGATATAAAGGATCATTTTTATCTTATTTCATATGAGTCAGTCAGCAAAGTGGCTATCCTGCTTCAGCATTCACACACACAATAGTTGACTGTCAGTCTGTCATGCTGTCAGTGTTGTGAAGTAACGAAGGAGTTGAGTTTTGTTGATTATAAATTGTGATGTTATGTAAAGGACTGGAAAATGAATGTGAAAACTATGGAAACATATTGGCAGAGTATTGTCACTTACTATCAGGACATATGGATAGAGAATACACTCAAATTAATAAGAAATGCCAAATATCAAGGTACTCAATCACTGATAGCAGTGGACTATCATATGTTTTAATGTCAATTATATGAAAGTTAAGACTGAAACTACCTTTTACCTCATCATACCTAATGAAAAATTGTGTGAAGAAAACATTCACAGCCTCTTTGAAGCACTTAGACCACTAAAAAACAAAAATTTTCACGTAAATATGTTGTGTCTCCTTCCTTCAAAACATCATATCGGATGGCGCCACTTTCGTCGACAGTTACTTATCTGCACGCAAATCGAGGAAAACGTGAATTGATTGACGTTTACGTGTTTCCAAATTTAAAATCACAGCATATTCAAACTTTTCAGTGTACCTTTTAACATCTAAGTATAACTAAAACGATAAAAACTTACCTTCAACACAAGGACGACGACAACCACGCGGCCGGAGACGTCGCGACGAAATAAACAAACGGCGCCGCCAAATGAAAAATATTCTCCGATATGGGTAATGTGAAATTGAGTCGCAATCATTTTGGGTAGTATGAAAAATGCTCTTTCCAACAGAACCCTAGTAAAAAACGTGAATGGACAAAAAATAACTTTAAAGGTAGTGTGCCAGCTTTCTTGGACCGTATGGAGTTAATGGCCCAGATAAGGAGAACCGGATTTTTAGAACTTATCCATACCTTCAAAACTCATGGAAACATCTTAAATTCTTCAAATTTTGAGTACCCCAGTGCGAAATTCGCCCCGACGGGTTGTCGGTCGTACCCCAACCACATTTCACACCACTATGAACAATAAATGCACACACTGAAATCGCTATTACCGATATGCTCATCCAATCAAGTTTCGATAAACCCGTTCATCATCATCTCCTGCGGTTTCGAACACGCCTGTTAGGTGGCTTCTGATGCTCGTCGAGGTCGGAATTTCCAAATACGCGTGGTGCGTCGGGCCGCGCGCTCTGACTTCGGCCAAGAAAAATGCGTCAGCTGATCATTGTCATTTCTGCCACTTGCGTGTGGTGAAATGGGGTCATAACTTATAAGACGGCTTTTTCATATCAATTATTTTACATAAAATCATATTTCAAACCATAAATAATGTTCGACAGCCAAATAAAAGAAACAATACCAATACGGGCTTACAGTTTAAGGCTCGACATTGTGTTGTCTACGATTAGACAGCTGATAACTCATTCCCGTACGTCGTATGGTCGTAACACTATAATGACCTTTGCTTATTGTCACAAGTGCGCCGCATTCGCGATTGTTGCCCGACGCCTGTTTGCAGGTGAGCCCACTACAGTTGTTATACATATCTAAAAACCGAAAAACTTTTAGGCGAAAAAGGCACTATTCCAGGCCCATTTTTGATTTTTTTGCGATATTAGGTAAAAACAGAAGCTTCTTATCCTAGGAAAAATAAAATGGGAAATCTTTCAAAGGTGGCACACTACCTTTAATTTCGACATAAATATTGGCCTGTTTTTGGTCATCCTGGCATGCCGTAAGATTTCGACCTATAAATTGGTGTTCCCCCAATCATTGAAGCTTGAGCAGTGAAAAATATGAAAGCCTAATCTGTTTTGCATCATTAGTGATTCTCCTAGGGTGTTGCCATTTCTCCCTAGGTGTTGCGAGTTGCTTTTGCAAAACGTGTTCCTGAAACGGCTCAATTTTTTGAGCCCTCAGCATTACGCCTATGGGAGCCTCTGACGTACTACGCTTAATATTTTGAGCGCTCAATAATTTGAGCTTTTCCCCTTGTGCGTGGGACTGAGAACATAACCTTAACCCTCGCCGGCACAGGGGGTTGATGCAACCCCCTAAGGTTTTTCGCAAATAACTCGCGTAAAAGGCGGCCGATTGCGACGAAACTTTCAGTACCCTCGCATTGATCAATTTTACACCTACCCTGAAAATTTCATGACCCTGATTCAAATGACCTTTGACCTGTGACCTCTTTTCCTAGACCATGTTTGGCCGGAATCGCGATTCGGCGTATGTCGGCTCGCATTAGCCGCGCGTTTGCAAGCTTTTCATGGTTTCAAACGTTCAAACATGTGATTTGATGTTGCTCCCATACATAAGGGCGGGTGTGATGGTCACCTGAAGGTCAGGTCAGGTCATTGACCTTTGGTGACCTCCTCGGGTGACCTCGGTTCACTTTTTCGAGTTTTACAGGTTTCTAGGCTAGTTTTTGGAGCTGAATTCGAATTTAGCAACCATTTGAACATTTACGAAGTAGTTTTGGTGCCTTCGTAACATGGTACGAAGCTGTCAGAGGCGGTTGACACGTATTACGAATACCCGTCACAACCCCTACCAGTTGACTTGACCTGACCTGACCCGACCTGGACTAAATGCTTAAAGACATCATCTCTGGTCAAAACTAACACGATATTCGTGATCAGCACCCCGGAAAACCACATAGCAGCCACACTTTACGACTTTCTAACAGGTCCCGATTTTCCCGGTTTTCGGGTCATTGACCTGACCTGGAAGGTCACCCGATGACCTAGGACCTTAAAATTGGGCATCATCGGCTTCCTCTCGTGACGGGCAACGCGCTCGTTTTTCCGCGAAGCTCTAGCTCGATCAGGGGCCAAACGCGAGGGGGGGGGGGTCGTACCAGCCCCCCCCCTTGTGCCGTCGAAGGACGCAAAATGGCCTGTGCTGGTGATAGTTAACTGTCCCCAAAGGCTGCCTGATCCACGTAATTGCATTTGTCATGTAAAATGGACCGTAAAACATATATCACACGACATTTTCATATTCGTTGACCATCAGTGACCCGACCTCTGTGACTTGACCTGGTATCAGTGACTTCAGATAGCAAAATAAGTGCAAAATAATAGTAATAAATAATAAGTGCAAATAAGTGCAAAATAATAAAAAAGTGCAAAATAATCAGATAGCAAAGCAAAATAATAAGCAAGCAATATTCCATCGAAGATTTTCGACAACTAACCAATTTACTCTATTTCACGACACATTTCTTGGAATGCCTGGAAACGGTGAAAATGCGACCTTTGACTTGACCTGTGACGTCATCGGTTGGTCCGAGGTTAATAAATTTCTGTCACAAGGTAGTTCTCCGGTGGGGCTATCGAACTCCGTTTTAATTTTGGACATCGGCCGGTAAATTTCCGAGATCTGGGGGGGGGGGGCGAAACGGCCCCCTGTCGCTTACTTAATATTTCACTACAATAGGTAAAATCTGCCTACTTAAATACTCGAAACAGTTAGATGGTGAATATTTCTAGAGACTTAATTCGCTGCAAATTTGGAAAGAAAATTAAGCTCTAAAGTAGCCGTGAGTCCTAACACATGCCATATCAAAATGGGCACTAGAAAAGAATGAAAATACTTTTTTTGTGTGTACGCAAGCAGCATTGACATTTATCGGATGACAGCTAACTGACGCTCGTTTCATCATGTACACGATCAAATTCAACGGTATTATTGCAATCTAATCGCCTTGAATTGATTCAAATATCTAAGGAATGGCGCTCAACCCTGTCACATTATCCAAGAAACGAGGATATACGACACAATACACATAACTCACTTGGTTTAGCAACAAAATACAGTGAAGTGTAGTCGATGAGAGTACATTGACATCAATGGCAAAACTGCACTTCTAAATTTATCACCTTTTGGTTTTCTCCTAGATTTCTTTAAATGGACAAAAAAAAACTATTAAGCTGATACAATCCATCATATTCAAACACACATTCTAGTCCATTCACACTCCATGTAAAGGTATGTACAATTTTAGACAGAGAGAACCCGACATTCGTCGGTATAATAAAGCTTGTTTGTCAGCAGGCATAACAACGGCAGGCACAACCCTCTAACCTTAGAACTCATCACATCCATTCTAAGACACGTCTGTTGACACCCGAACAGGTAGGTAGGGTATCGGATTATATATATTATGTTCCTAGTGAGGCAGCAATGAGAGGTTCTTCATAATGAACGTAGCTACGTCATGAAAGTACTTCTGTCACATTCATAGCTCTCGTATAGATTCTTCAACATCAGTGGTGATGAGTGCTTCTCATAAAAAGAGGTTGCTAACCGTAAAAGAGAGCAATGCCGAAGAAAATGCCGAAGAAAAAACCTAGTTTAGAAGATGTAGCACTAATCTGGTGGTGGTAACTGGTACGACTGCAGAATGACCACACTGACCTGATGGTAAGTACCAGGATAGCCCACTGCACTGACCTGGTGGTACCAGGAGAGTTCCGTGACGGGCGGGTTGGCCCGGACCTGACAGTCGAAGTAGACGTCGTTGCCTTCCTTGATGTCGCTGGCCACCAGAGTCCTGCCGATCTGCAGTAAAATCTGAGGTGGATCTGGAACAGAACAATATATCACAAAGCTCATTCAGTCGAGCTATGGTGCTCTGAGAAAACACAGCTTCAAATGCTCTTGTTTCAGTTGTGAAAAATGAAATATTCAAAGTGTGCCGTTTCCCTTTCATTGTCCTGGGACTTGAGATAAGGGGCAGTTTGTGTGTCGCTACTCTTTATTTTCGAATATTTCCTGTTTGTGCTTTAGATTGAATGTTGTTTGGAATGCCATAACAAGGTCCGCGGTTCTAGCGGTGCTATTTCGCTTCAAATTTAAGTGACTGTCAATTATTGTACACAACCCCTAAAAGTTGTCCAAGCGCAAGTAGTCGTACTTAGATAGAATGTCCTTCAATATTATATGCACCGTTACTTGTCTCGTAAACGGCAGTTAAATTACATAGACATAATGGCATAATTGATACCATGTCTTAGGTATGAACCTGTTTTCAGCGAGCTACAAACATAAACCGCTTGAGCAAGAAAATCAATGTTGCAGCAGCGCAATTCACGACTTCAGGGACCTACATATATAACACTTCGCAACCGAAGACACACTTTACGGAGAGTGCAAACAAGTTTACCCTGCCACTTTACACGAACAAACTATGGACTCGTCAAATAAACCTGTTTTTATCAGCCAGACGAAACGGAGCAACCCAACTTCTGATCAACTCTTCAACGTTCCCGCCTCAGCTCTTGTGACCAGTGGCATCCGTGAATGCTAACTAGGCTGGAGGCGTCGGCCCCATCAGGGTTCGAATCAGCACCGGCTCGACTTTGAATACCCATCCGATCGGCTCAGCGGATCCTCCAGGACGACATGCGCATCTCGCACGAAACCATCCTGACGTGAATATGTGATTTCATCCTGTTTTAGTCACTCCGAATTTCCGGCTTACTCCTTATCGGTGCTTGCAACTCATAAAAACGCATTTGAGCAGATGCTCAATTATTATTTACCACATGCCGAGATATCCCTTTAACATTAGCACGTGCATTTGGGAAATGGCTTCGGCCCGCCTCGGCTAATGTTGAAGGTATTTGGGAAACGATTCGGCCCTAGGGCTTTTTGATTTTCCCAGACAAAGTTTTACTGAATATTCTGAGCGGAAGAACCAATTTCAAAGAAGATATTTACGGATTGTGTGTTCACTAACAGCAACAGCAAAAGTAAGTGACTGCGTGTTTACATACTTTTGCTGTCAACGTAATTAAACTAAACAGGGTTATCGTTCCAATGCCAATGTATTTATTGCTGCAGAACATTGTCGGAATAATCATTATTTCTACATAATGCACGCAAAAAACGAACAATTTAAATGCGTGAAGCATCTTAACGTGCCACAATGAAACATTTGATATTGTTCCAGCTGGGATCCAAGACGCGTTTGATTCAGCGTTTCACCAAATTTTTAGTTTTCCTCACGGTTTCCTCACTCCTGCTGGACTCCATATCTTTATTCTAACTTCTGGCGTTTCACCATCTTCAATCTTCATCCTCAGCTTTTTCAAACCCTAAATAAGGGGGAAGTAGGAATTTCATCTTTCATACTCAACGCAGCCTAAAAATGAAAAACACAAACAAATAATCACGGTGACTATAAATATGAACATAGTATTAATATAATATTAACACAATATTAAGATTAAAGTGTAAAATATCAAATGAATATGATATTAACTGTTGCACCGGTGCCCGGTACGGCATGTGGTAAATCTCTTCCCAACCTTGGGCTGTGAAAATGCAGTTTTATTCACCTCGGTTTTTTGCTACGGACCTCGTGCCTACCGGCACTCGGTCCTCCGCACAAAAACCTCGGTGAATAAAACGCATTTTCCCAGCCCCGGTCGGGAATATATATTCCCAGACCTTTGTCACTGATGTCTTTAGGCTTAGTCTCTTCCCGTTATAATCCACCAGTTCACAATCTCGCAGTCTGTCGCATCCTCACACCCGTGACACCAAGCATCCCAGCATCATCTGACCACATGTGCCTGTGCCCCATACCCATACCACATGAATGACAGCCATCCCCTTCCTTCGGCAGTCCGCACGACCTGACGACCTCACCGGGCCGACGCCGGCAATCCATACACCGACTACCGAGCATCGACCGTCGGGCCCGCTCGCCCCGTTAATTAGTTAAAGTGAGGGCCAACTGGTCCCCGCGGCGGCGGCCGGACCTGACCGCAGACCTCAGCAGACCACAGCGAGCACCCCCGGCGGCCAGAGAGACCGATCGGGGTGCGCGGCCGACCTCGGCGCCCGCCCGGTCGTTACGGGCCGACACGACTGCACTCGTAGCGTGCCGGCACGTATTATCAGAGCGGAGCCTGCGGTAAAAGCCGGCCGGTGATACGGAGAGTCAACAACGGCGGGCCGAGCGGGTCAACAGGGCCCCTCGCCGAGGGTTTCTGTGCTGGTGGTGGCCGGAGCCATGCAGCTTCGCCAACCACAGCTGGACAACAGATAGTCAGTGCAATGGCTACACCGCAATCAGAGGCAGAAGGTGCAATGGGTCACCACAACAACCGTCAACAGGAGCAACTATCCCCCACTAAGACAGCGGCCAGTCTAGCAGACAGCACACCAATTTAGGCCTATACAGTACCGTTTAAGACAGGACCGAAAAGCAGCCACTGAGACAATGTCCTTAGCAGCAGACCACTCCTGTCAGGACAGGACTCCACCGTGGCAGGCGCCAGCCTTTACACAGCGGCCGTCGCCAGCAGGCCGCCGAGGTGCTAAGGGCTCGATAAGTGGGCACCTAACCTCACCAAGGCCATAACAGGCCACTCTCATCCGGCTAACCTGGCTTTGTGACTTGTGTATGTTCTTACGCTGCAGCCTGCTGGGATCGGATGCTGCATAGCCTTTTTTTCGTTCCCGCTTGTCCCTGGGGCGAGCAGGATCGATGTGCGAGAGGTGTGATTTAGATCAGAGAGCGACACGAACGTCCGAGCAACAGTGCTGATACACGCGAGAGAGAGAGAGAGAGAGAGAGAGAGAGAGAGAGAGGGAGAGAGAGAGAGAGAGAGAGAGAGAGAAAGAGAAAGAGAGAGAGAAAGAGAGGAGAAGAGAGAGAGGAGAGAGTGAGAGGAGAGTAAGAGAGAGTAAGGGTGAGAGAGAGCGAGAGGTAGAGGAGAGGAAAGAGAGGGAGAGAGAGAGGGACAGAGACAGAGAATAGACGAGAGAGAGGGAGAGATAGAGAGAGAGAGGGGAGAAGAGAGAGAGAGAGAGAGAGAGGAGAGAGTGAGAGGAGAGTGAGAGAGAGGGTGAGGGTGAGGGTGAGGGTGAGGGTGAGAGAGAGAGAGAGAGAGAGAGAGAGAGAGAGAGAGAGAGAGAGAGAGAGAGAGAGAGAGAGAGAGAGAGAGAGAGAGAGAGAGAGAGAGAGAGAGAGAGAGAGAGAGAGAGAGAGAGAGAGAGAGAGAGAGAGAGAGAGACAGAGAGAGAGACACAGAGACAGAGAAACAGAGACAAAGTTACAGAGAGACAGAGAGACAGATAGACAGAGACAGAGACAGAGACAGAGACAGAGACAGAGACAGAGACAGAGACAGAGACAGAGACAGAGACAGAGACAGAGACAGAGACAGAGAGGTGAGAAGCATGGCTGTCTCTCTCACTTCTCCCTAGAGCCAACGGTGGGGTGGGATGGAGGAGAACGTATGCTTGTCATTCGAAGAATGTTTGCATTGGAGGGAGCATCCATCACCCGGCCTGGGCAGGGGACAACGGAGCAAACTACTCAGTGGGGGTGACACTACCAGCGTATATCATCCTGGGCAGGTGAGAGAGGAGCGATCTACAACCAGTTGAGGTGAGAAAGCAGCGCACATCATCCTGGGCAAGTGAGAAAGAAGCGAACTATACTCAGAGGAGATAGAAAGACACGTGATCCACCCTGGGCAGGTGAGAGAGGAGCGATCTACACCCAGTGGGGGTGAGAAACCAGCGTGTATCATCCTGGGCAGGTGAGAGAGGAGCGAGCTACACCCAGTGGAGGTGAGAAAGCAGCGCACATCATCCTGGGCAAGTGAGAAAAGAGCGAGCTCCACCCAGTGGAGGCAGAAAGACACGTGACCCACCGTGGGCCGAGGTGGGGGGGGGGGGAGCATGCTCTCCGTCTCCACCCGAGCGCTGCTCTCCGCTCGGCTCCGCGCTCAGCGCGGCGGTAGGCAGGCGGACGGCGCGTTTATATTTAGTTGTCAGGGCGTGAGGTTGATGACGGCGGTGGCGGCGCCTCGGAGACAATACTAATGAGGGTGTGCCGTGCGACTGCAGACGAGATGGGCGCCGCCAATATTGACTGCAGTTTTCTAATAAGGCTGTCAGCCAGCAGAGACAGCGGGAGCTGAATTACAGAGAGACAGAGACAGCACGAAAAGTCCGAACGATGCCAGAAATCACCGCCGTGGAAATTCATATCGGCGGTTGGCAGCAGGATGCGTCTCGCTATAATTAGCAATGAGCTGGAAAATAAGTGTTAATTCCTTCGAAATACGTCCTGGCAATGAATTTAGTTATCTAAATGTACATGAAATTATAGATTGAGTGCAATGCGCTTGCATTCTTAGATATTGCAGGGACCTGCATCAACCCATGGGCACTGCAAACATATCACTTTTAGAGGCTGAGTTAACTTTCAAAACAGCTGTTGGCAAATATGACACTGCCTTGTGTCAATAGCTACTGCATCGCTGCGTTCAAACATATTGTGAATGGGCCTTTGAACATGGGCGTAATACGATGCAAGCAGAATGGGTCTGGATTGATAATACTGAGCTGGCAGTGATACCAAAGTAGACTAATAGCCTGTTTAGTAAAGTGAACGAGAACGATGCCACCTGGTCCCCGCTGAACACGTGTTACCACTCAGGATATATTAACGGCGTCATTAACCAGCCTACCGCCAGTGGGCTGCTGTCGCATCAATTCACTTTTTTCTTTATCGGTCCTAAGATACACGTATGGCGTGTTATCAGAATTGATTAAGATGTTTAACCACTTATTTTAATGCATACCTAACTACATTTTTAGCACAAATTTCAATAGTTTTGCAGCCTGGGGGAGGGCAACTACTGCTTATATACTGTGCATATGTAAGCCCGAGTTTACTATTTGATGGATCGAGACTCTATCAAAATATAAGTGAAAGTTTCACTGTACATACTCCGTGTTAGACAAATCCTTCGTCCAAGCCAGAAACACAACGTTGCTCCTTGAGCTCTCCATCTAAACTCACCCGCCCAGTCAGCCGAGCACCTGGCCGAGCTTGATCAGCTGAATGGGTGAAAGCAAAGTGCACCATGAGATGCTAAAATCATAGCATCTATGTGAAAACCTCATTCTAATGTACAGAATTAAGCTGGGACAAGAAATCTGTCAGGTTCAAATAATCTGCATCGTTAACAATAAAGACAATTACTTACCTGAAACAATGCCGCTATCGTTATGAAAAAGGCCCTGGCCTGGCGGGGGTAAAAAGAAAGCATAAGTTGTGCGCAAATCGATCTGGGAGTTTCAAAAGTGTTTTGTTCAAATTCATCATTACGAGGTATATGTACACTGTTCAGCGTAGCATAGTCGTCGGGAGGATAACGGCAGGGTCAACTGAAGCAGAAACAGCGCGTTCCTCTGTCGTTTCCGACTCTCGCGAGCCATGCACTGGATGTCGGCTGTCGCTTCCCATTCACCATCGCCTTACCGTCTGTGTTACAAGCACCGGCTCTGTTGGAGAGCCCGATCCAACTTTCAGGAGCAGACTCATTGTTAATTCCGGATCTACATGCAAATCAATGGGACCGTTAGCTAAGCTCCATCAAGTCAAAGCAATGACAGATACATAATTGACAGTGAGAAAAATAAGAGGAAGACGAAAAAGAACAGGAACATAGGATTTAAAAAAAGTTCAGAGGAAACAAAATTCCTCAAAGATCCGATTGCAATAATTTACATGTCCGTTTTCTGCTGTAAAAATCAAGTTGTCATTGCTGTATATAGCTGATTTAAAAAAAAATGCATGTTATGTCCAACAAAACAAGCAAAGCTCCCAAAGTGAACCTGGTCATTATCCAAATATCCAGCCTGGTTTCTAAGGCCAGCTAAATGACTCTCGACCGAACACTTTTCCAACCGAGGTACTTGGGTGGCTGAGAGCTCTCTGGATTATCCTTAGCAAATGTTTCGAAATTGAAGAAGCAACGTTGAGTGCCGAAAGGAAAACCGATGGCTTATCGCAGTGTATGAATTCTTGCATATTTAGTGTCATTTTTTTATCTTTCAGAGCGCTACCCGAGTGAATGTGTTGAAAAGGAGACTATCGGTTATTACAATACAAGCTGAATTTAGAATTCGGTGTATTCAATTTCAAGCTGATACAGGTGTGTAGTTAGCAGTGGTTCCCTGACGGTGTGACTGCTGGAACTGCCCCGCACGGGAATGATGTAAAGGAATGCGGTAATGTCATGTGATATGGCGATCATCAGCCCCGGCTGATCGTTACGGAAGCGGGTGGCGCCGCCAACACTCGGTTTGATGAATGCTCCGGTACTTTGTACCGTCTAATGGGACGGTTTTCTGGTCGACTGGCCGCCGGCCGTGCCGTGAGGAAGGGAACGTATCACGAATTATTTGCCGACAGGGTGAGATAGCTGGGAAAACTTAAGGTTTTCCCGCTTTTATAGAGGTTACCTGTGGCGTGATGGCGATCGGTGCCAACCACCAAACAAATTAAGTGGGAGAGGAAAGTGGAATGTGCGTTTGTAGCTTTACTTGTTGACCGTTGGATTAAGTCTTAGCAACGATAATCTTACTTTTGAAAAGTACTGTATTCAGTACTGTAGTAATGTATTCCGAAATTAATCTTAAATTTAATTCCGATTAACAAATAATTAAAGATTGGTGGTGTCTTCACCTCATCACATAACTGGACATTGCGCATTGTTTCTTCGAATACAGCCCCACATTCATCAAAGTCAGTCTTCTGCGAGCGCGAACGCGACGGAAAGTAGAATTAAATGCAGCATTTATAAATAAAATCGCTTTTTACGCTTTCTTTTTCACTTACATCGAAGCTAACATTAAATTCATTATCAAGAAACGGTCTGCCTGCAGAATGAAGTCATCTATACAGTAACATATACTTTCAGTCAGCGACCACTATTCACATCAATCTTGACGTCAATCAAGCAGCATAATTTCAAAATTATTCTAACTACTGCAAAAAGCACCTCTGGCATTTGGTCCTGCTGTTATCAGTGGTGTTCAACGTCCATATAACACAGAATGATGACCATTAGGGATGGGGCTATCTTATTTACGTCACATTATTTGAGCTCGCCAGGACACATTGTAGTTTCCACCAGCCTGCATACTACAAATAGTTTCATCAGCAGCGGTTCAATGTGGTAGGTTACGAGACAAATTCTAACAAGTGCACGTCGTATGTGTCTACTGAATAATGAATATGCATGTTTGAATATAGTTATTACCCACACATAAAAAGCCACTCACAATAACCACCAAACAACAGCACACACGCTCTTTTTGTGGTGAACACAATTACTTATCGTATTATGAGGTCGCGACAGTTGGCATTGCTTATGGCAATTGTGCTACGAAAACACATTCTCCATAACTGATAGAACAGATACCATCCCTGCCTGGTGACCATCATAGACAACAGTGAATGATGGTTGTTAAACCATAAACCGAACAGCAGGTCAATCGACCAAACGCCTGCTTTTTTTATGCACAACGACATATAGGTAGATGTGTAAGCGTAAAAAGGTCAAAGGTCATAGAACTGTATCTGTAGCTCGGCCATCTTCCTCCCCGAACCGTCAGCTATCAGTCAGTCTTCCAGTCAGTCTCCACGAATTGTGTCGGCGACTTATCCGTCTTGATCCCAGGGCTGTCTCGTTGTATCGATATAAGGATATAAGTCGGGTCGTTTGTCTCCCTGCACTGTTAGACATCGATCACCGCGACTAATCTGTCCCCTGAATTGTCCACAGTGGCAAAGTGTTCCGGGTATGTAAGACAACATGATGCAAGTAAGTAGCCGCTTGCATAATAATCCGTCACTCTAGAGCCGATGGACGCGACTCAGATTGGGTCTGTCCAGCAGTGAGATTTGCCAGGATAAATTGGAAGATAGTGTTGTTGTTTGTTTTTTTACCGTGTGGGCGAGAAGTCACCTGAGCCCCTGTTTGCTACTCACAGTGAGCCCGCAGGGTGTGTGTGGCGCTGATGATCCCTCTTTGCCCTCCATTCTACTCACAGTGGACGGGCAGGGAGCGTGTGGCGCTGATGGCCGCTCTCTGCGGCAGCTGAGCGTTCTCAGCCAAACAGGTTAGCTCCAAACTGTCCTCCCCGACATCAGCAGTCAGCGTCAGCTCGCTGACGGTGATGTTCGGATCCGCCGACGGCTGGCGGCGAACGTCACAGCACATCAGCACATCATACATCACGTCACAGCATATCACTTCAGCAAATCACAGCATACACCACAGTGCATCGTCACATCAACACAACATACCATACAACTCACCAGCACAGTACATCATACAACATATCACATCACCACATCACATCAGCACAGCACAACATTACATATTAGCACAGCACATCAGCAAAGCGCATCAGGTACGACACATCACAGCACAACACATCCAGAGCGACACACCACATCAGCACATGACATCAGCAGAGCACATCACATATCACATATCAGTATCATTTACTGGCGCATCCTTACAGAAATAGACTACATCATTCCAGCTTGTTGCATTGTCACGCACCAGGAAATGAGCGCATATTACATTAAGATTCTACGCATGCACGCACGGCTCAGTGACAGTTCTTGGATACCCTGCTTTGGTATGCCATTACAATGGATCGATGGTTCAGCTCCGCTGCCAATGATACTGAACATCAGGAGGCAAGGAAAGGAATATCAATCTGACACCCCTGAGAATGTTCTTCCAGCGCTCGTCACGTCCGGGGAGGGGTGAGGGAAGGGTGGGGAAGGGGTGGGAGTCATCATCCAGACGATCACAGCCGGATACCGGAGCCATCAGCCCGTGATGATCGGACGTGTGCGATCGAGACGTTTACATCAGCCGCGGCGCCATTCCGTCATCACTGCAGGGATTCAAACGACCTCGGCATCAATATCCGATCAGTGGAAACCGACAGGAAATCCGCGGCACCGGCTGTCTGTTACAGTCGAGGTATATGTCACCTCGGCAGAGTTCGGTCCGCTTACAAACGGGGGCCACAGAAACTCTGAGTCAGTGAAATGAGCGTCAATGCATAGGATCACACGAGTATGACCCTTGTGGGTAATACGAGCGTCATCAATGCTCTTTTACAAGCCTCGTGGCCTGCACGTTGTGCTAACATTCCCGACCATGCGATGGCGGATGGCGTATTTCGGGTGCTAATGGCGACTTATGGCAGCCGGTGCGTCGATAAGCCGACCAACAACACAGGAATCACGTGACGTCATCAGCCGGGTATACGCCGCACGCAGCACCAGTCGCGGCAATAAGGGAACGGCCGCGCGGCGAGGGCAGGACGGGCCACCAATGGGCTATGCCACTAACGAATCAAACCAATGCGCCAATAAACTATAATTGTGGCCAATCAATTCTACCTTGATGGCCTTACGCTGTTAGGGGACCGCGCTGTATTAGAATGGGGCGCGCTAAGTGCTCTGGAAGGGTAGCGTGGGCCGCAGCGAAAATATTGCCATAGGCGCCAATTAAAACAGGCACGACTGAAACGCATCACAATCATGACAATATGATATGTCATAGAGGAATTTAGCAATGGTTATTTGATACTAAGACAGGGTTTAATGGATGTGTAACGTTTATACATAAATGAAAGGAATGCAAGACAATGCCGCTTTGGTATCTTCACAAATATTGAATGCACCTGAAAAGACGTCGGACATCGGAAGGGATCATATAAGTGTTCGCTTCACTGAACCTATTATACCTTTTTCAATGCTCAATAGTCATTGCGCCACCACGCTTTCTATTCTTAAGTCCATTCCTCCAATCTTCAGTCACTTCCGCATATACGAAGCACAGCTTATTTCCACACATTAAGTCTCTAATTCACCTCTTGATTGATTCATCAGCCCACCAAATCGCCCCTCACCCCATCCCTGCACTCACCAGTTCTCGAATGCCGCTGACAATCGGACTGTAGGCTCCCCGAAGCCACCGGATTCTCGCCGCCGGCCGAGACCCACGTGCCGTGCACGTGACCCTGTAGGTGACCTTTGCCCTCAGGTGGTCGGGCAGCTGCGACAGGCTCACGTCCAGAGGTGGCAGCAGCAGCTGCAGTCGCAGTGTGGTTGTTCGCGGCTCGGTCAGGTTACTGTTGGAGGCCGCGCAGCTGAGTTCTGAGCGCAGGTCGGTCCTCGCCAGGTGGTGGAGGGTCAGAGTATTGCGTACCGCTCCGGCCGGGCCGTTCTCAAACGTGTTGTCCAGCAGGTGGCCCCTCCAGTACCAGAGCAGCTTCGGCGGGGGACGGCCTGAGGGGGGGGGAGGGGTCAGCGAGTACGTATACAGCGGAGCTGGGGGGAGGGTTAGCGCGTACCTTGGGGCGGTGTTGAGGAAAAAGGTAAGCGCGTACCGTGGGGCGGCATTGGGGAAGGGGTTAGTGCGTATTGTGGGGCGGGGCTGGGGAGGAAGCCGCGGGTCAGCGAACAGGGGAATGGCATGTGTGTGCGGTGGTCGTGTCGATCGGCATTAGTGGAACGGAATGTTTGATAATAATCGATGGTCTACTGGTGAATGATGCAGGTATCGACACGCGCCCTTCGCACGCACTGATGGGGGTGGAAATAGGGCCACACGGTGGCGTGGCGCCAATTAATATTCCAGCCAGTAATTTGCTCACACGCCGGGTGTATCCGGTCCTCTAATGCTCACACTTGAGGAATTATAAACAACAAAAAAGGATGCAACGGAATATAAAGGAGTTTCGTTTATATCAGCCGTTTTTTTACGACGGGCCATCTGGCGAATGCACCTAATTTGACCAAATCTGCATCAAATCTCTTATGATGAAATACCTTTGTATCAGGAATTTATATGTGTTTTAATCGAAAATAATCTCAGATACTTTCACAAAATGAGGTATATAAGCATCTGTCAAACCCAAATTGATAACTTTTAAGAAGCACACTGCGCCTAATTTGACCAAATCTGCACCAAATGTGCACCTACTCTGCAACAAATGTGTACCAGATGGCCGTCGTGAAAACGGCTAATATAACTACTACACTTACAACATACACATTACACATGCATCATAATCGGGGATAAGTAGCAGAGAACAGAACGATGCTAAGACTATATGGCATTTTCTTTCGCTTGTTCTTTGTTGCAACAACTGAATAGCTCTAATGTAAGGGTTTGGATATAATTCTCGCCCTCACATCTCTCTCTCTCTCTCTCTCTCTCTCTCTCTCTCTCTCTCTCTCTCTCTCTCTCTCTCTCTCTCTCTCTCTCTCTCTCTCTCTCTCTCTCTCGTTCTCTCTCTCTTTCTCTCTCTCTCTCCCTCTCCCGCCCCCTCTCTCCCCCTCTCTCTCTCTCTCTCTTTCTCTCTTTCTCTCTCTCTCTTGAACATAATCGGCTTATTTTTCGCTGCTTCCAGGGAAACGCAATAAATAAAGTTCTTGCCAGTGTTTCGATCACAGCTAAGCTTCGTACCAGAAAAGAGCCAGCGTGTTATTACATTGGAAACCGAAGCTCCATTTCTAACGGCTTTTAACAAGCATGACATTGAGTCGATCAATTAGAAACACACCATATCAACCGTTTCATTGTTCTCAAAAGGAAAGTTCTCTCACGTTGATATTGTACAGCAGACGTAGGTATTTTCCTTTTTGTCTAGCGTGTATCCTCATCTGCAATATGAATTTCTGCGTTACGAACACGATATTGGCTATTGCAGGAAGCGATACATAGTTAGTAGTCTGACGAGCTTACAACGAATTGCACGTACGAAATTCATCTCTGGTTCGTTGCCGCCGCCTAACTATAGCCAAGTTAAACATTCCTCGCCGAACGGTAATAACTTGGCAGAAGTTTGCGGCATCAATATCAGATATTGGTATTCTTCCAATATCCCGGCAAGAAATATATTGAATAAAAGCACCACGGCATAAAATTAGTGAACGTTGTTTTTAAGAAATGACACAAAGCACACACGTCAAATGACTTTATTAGGCTCGCAGCCGTACTAATGCCAGCTGCTGGTTGGACATAATTTACACTGCTATCCTGACTCGAACAATTTGCGATTGTAGGCTTTGCGGTTACTTGTAAGGCATCAATTAAGCTACCTCAAATAGAACAACTAGCTTTAATCCAATAAATTGCGTGGTGAACAACAATATCGCACGTTTCTAGAGGTCAACAGATGGCGAAGTAAGCGCTCCAGCGCAAAACTCGGCGGTAGCATCCAATTAACGGTGGGACGACAACACCGCGACGACGGACTGCCGTCCAACATGAGCAGCGTTTCGACAAACGACCGCCATCACGCAACGAGGCCGGCGCGATCATCCAGCTGCAAAACAGCGGCACAGCCGGCAACTTGCGAGCAACTCCGGAAAGCCGGCCATCAGCGAGTGTGTCCCGCCGAGCCGCGAAGCGGAGCTGCGAGCGAACAACAGAGACAGGCCCGGCGACGACCACCGCGCCGGCCGGGAACCGCTGAAGACCGGTGGCGGATCGACACATCCAACGCCACTTCACCACTCTGGTGACAGTGTGTGACAGGCGGCCACAGTCAGTGTCGGCCGTGACAGGCCGTCATCGGAACGGACATTAACGGACTGCCCGCGCGCCGCCGTGCGGTTCGCCCGGCGCGGTCGTAATTGCTCCACAAACATTCATTTGCAGTGGCCTGCAAACGGCTACGCACAGCCGGCGCAAGGCACGCCGCATAGTAATGACGCACTGGTGTGTAGAGAAGTGTTGACACACCACGAAAACAACCGCCTACTTGTCACGCTGCTGCCGGCTGTCAGGCCGGATGTCGGACCTGGATAACGCCGCCCTGTGTGCAGCTGGACGGAGAAATTCGGGTAGATACGCAGTATTTCAGCTTTCATGTCCAAGGTAAGGTTTTGCTAAAGTTAGTACCTCCTTGTGATAAACAAAGTTAATGTGCTTTTGATAAAGACGTCGAGGTTTGTGAAACGTCGAGCAATTTTATTTCCCATATTTAATTCGTGGCTTCGCCTAAAAAGAAGCCAAGGTGATTGAATTTCGAATTGCGTTCTGGTGCATAGGCGCTATAAATTTAATAAAATATTGCATCAAGTTACCGTGAATTTCATAAGGCTTGCAAAGAATGTTGACATAAATTTCAATTTGATGGCGGGTTATAAAAAATCGTTGCTTGTTGACGATAACTACGTTTATGGAACTACAATAACGGTCATTAACAGCATACGCAAAAACTGTTGACTGGTCGTTACTTATCACATCATAGGATACCGTTGAAACATGTAAATACTTCTCGGAAGGGAGCTCGGTAGAACACAGATCGATTGTACCCAATCACTACCTATACTGTTGAACCAAACAATCAAACATCAGTCAAGCTACTGAGAACGACGTGCACCTATAAACACTAGGAATCAGTGGCACACAGCTCAGGTACTCACTACCGGCCACTATTAGCCCAGGTTATGGAATCGTGCGGCGTTTAATAACCGTTTTCGGACACGCTACCGCTGGGCCATATATTCAAGTGACAGGACGACGCCCCGAAAATGACAGCCGCAGTCAGTCTGCAGGGGCGCGGTGGTCGGGTCCGACGCAGCCTCCCCCCCCCCCCCCACCCCCACCAGGCCCCGGGGACGCGGTCGGAGCAAACGGCGCTCACCGGCCGACAGCAGTGCTGAGGAGAGCGGCCAGCCGCGCCAAAAGTTAGCCTATGTTTTCAGCGCTCAGCAGAGTGCGATCAATCTCTGGCGCCGAGCGGGCCGGCCTGTACTGCCGCGCGAAAAACAAGCCAGCAGTAACGGAGTCCCGACCCAAACAACACAGATTGCTGAGGTTAAATGGCCCAATTGTCCGCTATCAGTACAGAGATCTTGACAAATTGCATTAAGTTACATTCGTAAATAGTGTTCAATTAACAAAATGGCTCTATTGAGACAGGTCGCACCACTCCCCAGGCGCCCTACAAAATTGCGCCAGCACGCAGCGTGGTTCAGCGCATCCCTGAGTGATGAGCCGCCCTCAGTCCGCGCTGTACGGACCCAGTGTCGGCAGTAAGCGGACGGTAATCGCGTGTCTGCCGGCCGTCGACGGCCGCTCCGTCCAGACCGGCGCGGCGCCGGCCGACGCGGCCCACCTGGCGCTCTGGTGCGCCACTCCACGGCCCGGCCGCGCCGCCACTGCCGCACTATTTCTGTCGGCGCTGTTTTGACTGTCGTCAGTTCCCGCAGCTGACAGAAACCATAGGGTCGCCGGCGGCGAACACTGGTGCCGTTAGCCGGCCCCGGGAGCCATTACTGGTGTAAAGCGAAACCTACCGCGCCGCGTAGGTGTCTGTTCTGTGGCGCCGAGCGCAGGGAGAGAGAGACCGGGTCTTTGGAGAGCCCGTCTAATAATACACCGTGCACGACAATGCAACGAGGTGGGGCTTGCCTACTCATTTAGTTGGGTTATTGAATATGCTGCTGAAGTCTTAATTTAGGACTAATCATAGAACACAATATATTCTGCGAGGCTTCGAAAAGCTTATCCAAATTGGTGACCGCACCATTAACACTGATCAGTTCCCAATCATTCCAGATCAAACACCGTGTATGTGTGTGTGTGGGGGGGGGGAGGTTGGGCGGAGTATGAGAGGTCTTGAACATTCTGCGAAATGTAAACAATAACAACATCAATACTACAAAGCACCTAATCCACTGAGCTCTAAAGGCGACACCTGGTTTGCGAAAGCACGTTTGACAATTGGAAACATTTCTAGATCGAACAGCTCCCGCTCCTCCCGCCCCAGCTACATTATTTAAAGAGAATTGTGTTTTAGAGTGTCAATGACTCGATGCTAACAGCTCACCTCCCGTCGTTTCACATGTGAGAGTGAGCGATTCCCCTTCTGGCACCGGTGAGGTCACGTCCAGCAGTCGCATTCCTTCGCTGTCGTATATGACTGGCTCGTCAGGTGGCACTGAAAAGAAAAGAAAAAAACATACAACAGTCATTGATTTGGCATTCTCGGTAGACCTTCAGCTGTGGCAAATTCGACGCTCTATAGGTCACACCACAGCGGCGTTGTTTGTAGTGGGTGTCTTTTCAGTCAGAGTTGATGTATACCGCCCTGCTCGATACCCCGTTTACCAGCGCCCTCGGCTCAAACATCGGTGTTATTTAGCGAAACCATTACACTGTTGACTCCCCACTGTCCGTTTGGTTGTGGGCGCACTTTGGATCGATTCGGTTGCACCGCGTGAAAATCGGGCCGGCCTCCCCATTCACAAGTCAACGCCGGCGATTGTCCATTTCGGGCAGGCGATTGCCGAGGAGTGCTTATGGCTCCGGCGGCGGGCTAAGCCGCGCGCTGACACGTTGGCCGTGCTGACGGCGGACTCTTTTCCGCCGCGGACGGCGCAGTGCGGAATGCAGCAGTGACGTTACGACACACTAAAGGCTGCCGAATGGTACACGCAGAGTGGAGGTGGCCCCAGCGATGCCCCTCGCAGGCAGTTTACGCCCGTCACGGAGCGGCTATACGACCTCGTACAGGTGGCATTCGGTCGCAGCCAGCAACACTCATCCAGCATTTACCGATGCATACGGAGTGAGCAAGAGCGTAAATATCTTTTTTATTGCTGATAACTGATATCAGAACATATTGATTTCAAGGTGTTGTCTGAGCGTAATATACTGTAAACGAAGACATTGACTGAATATATTTTTTAAGATGCAAGAGGCATGCAACATCAAGCAAGCACCGTATATTACCGTCGACAAGGTTGTGTTGTGTTTAAGGGGAGCCAACAAGCACACTGAGAAAACAGTTTCTCCATTGTCGGTCTCAGAGACCAGTTTTCGGGCTAATGTCCCCTATTAAAAAAAGGCCACACATTTTGAGAATACTCTCTGAACAACGCCATTGATGGCAGAAACAGCTCTCAGTCAGTACTCAGTACCTATTATCGGTGTCAAGCTTTTAAAATTAGTCTCACTATGAAACCAGTTTTCAGCCTGATCCCCAATTTCGGTCTCACTTGAATCCAGTATTTGGGCTAAAAGTACATGAGCCCTAAAAGGAAGCCTTACTGAAACCGTTTTTAAATCAGACACATATGAGGCTTGTTTCAGTACTCAATTGAGTCCTTATTCAAAAATGTTCTCAAAGTGTTTTCTGTGTGCAATAATGTTCAGCGAGAAGTATTGACGTTAGCATTTCTTTATCAACGATCTTCATTGAAGGTCCAGGGGGCAATTGAACGCGTCTTTATATAAGCGTTGTGTCCGTTTGCGGCCATAATTAGAAGGGTCTGTTCCTGACGTCTGTGACAATTACGGCTCATTTCCGATTGTCGTGGACACATACAATATTGGATCGGGCCGACCGCCGCTCCCCTCCCTCACCTCCCAGCGACTCGGCCTGTGATCAGCAGCGCGTGCGTAACGTAACTTCTTTGATAGCGACCAGGGAGAGCGCCTGGCGCTGATTGGGCGGCGCAGACTCGCCACGGAAAATGCGTAACTACATTTCCGTGGCGATTTCGGCATACAGGTCGTTAATTCGGTCCAGAAAATATTCATAGTTAGTGCGAGCGGAGTTAATTAAGTCGCCGTTCCAACTCTAAACATCCCATTGCAGAGCGTTTTCCGAGCCAATCTAGGGAAACTGGTGTCGTGCTCGCCGAGAAAACAGCTTCCGAGGAGTCTCGTCGGTGTCACGGCGACAAAAACTGCGACATAACTTCTCCACTCCGCCCTCAGCGCGTTAGTCGGACCGGCAATATTAGAGCGCGGCCGTGTGTTTGTCCGGACGCCACCGTCCGCTCCATTATAATTAACGAAATTGTCCCCGCCAGAGACACTGACGTACGTTTCTGTTTACCGGCCGTTTATGAGAAAGCGGCGCTGGCGACGGGTGAGGTCTCCCATTCCGTCGGCGGTGCCTGTTGACGAACGCTGCAAGATCGGCCCCCGGGGAGGCACACTCACGCAACGACCCGCGACGCCAACGACGCGACAGTAGCGACGGTGGCGACGATGGCGACGACTACGACGCCGATGGGACGATGAGATTGGTGCCAGAGTTTTGCCGACACATTGTCACCAACCGATCATCCTCGGTCTTCTTCGGGCCACCAGCTGATGAGAGTCGGTATTCACCAAGGTTGCATATTTGCGCCGGCTCTCTTGGTCTCTTGGGAACAGGAGCGGGGGTGGTGGTATGGTATCGCGGGTGGGGGGGGGGGGGGGGGTGAGCGGCATCCTTCCGCACGACAGCGTCGCCGGACGGCCCGGACCGGACGGTAGCGTGCAGCTGAACACGCTAATAACACGCGTGAGGATACTTTTGTGGCGCACTTCGATAACGAAAAAAAACAGACCTTCACCATAAAAGACTGACATCTAGGGGTCTGGACGAATGTAATTTCATACAAAGTTAATGCATCGACAAGGTCGTGACATGCTAGAACGGGCACAACATGCTTTGGCTAATGCAATTGAAGTCAGCATCGTTTATCGACCACGGTATGCTACCAATGTATAGTGCGGTATAAGCAAATACGGACGATTCAAATGCTCATCGCAAATGCATTCCTTTTGGTGGCAAAACACATAGAATCTCCATTGTTTCATCTCTTCAGTGATGCACTAGTATTGCAAGCGAATCGAGTTTTGTTCAGATATTTATAGAAGTCATCATTACAGATCGCTGCAGTAAGATACATAACCGAACATGCTCCGAGAACCACTCTGCTAGCCTCGGCCCAGCGACACTGCATGCATTTCTCGAGTGGGCGCACCTAATCAGAAGCCTCATCAAACAGCCAGAGCAGCGCAGCATACCCTGCTTTATGTACTTACCGATTAGGGTCAGGTTGGTGACGCCCACCCTGGACGGGCTCTGGATGAAGTCGGCTCGGCACACGTAGACGCCCCGGTCCAGCTGTCTCAGACTGCTGAGCACCAGTGCCGGAGGCGAGAGCTGGTAGAGGGCCCGGGCGCGCGGAGACAGAAGGTCGTCGGTCAAATGGTGACCTCTGCCGGCCGGCCGACCTCTGGCGTCGTACCTGTGAGCGGGCGAACGGTCAGAGGGGACCTCCGCAGGCGATCGAGAGGGACCTTCACCGGCGATCGACCGCCTGGGGTCCCAGTTCTATGTCCGGGTCACGGGTCAGGTGAGAGCCGCCCCTGTCGACAGGAAGGTAGTCCGGCTCTGCAGCCGACAGCTGCACTAATGAGGCAGGTTCCAACGTCGTTCCATTAGCGAGAGGAAATGTTATTGAAATTAAGCAGCGCCGTGCGCAGTACTAGCCAGTAATTAGAGACATTGGAAGTAGATACTGTCAGCGCCAACATTGCTCACCGGTCCTCTCTATCATCAGGACTATCCCTTCCTTATCCTTGAGCACACTGCATTGTCCAGGCCGGCGGTCAAACCTAAGACAACCGGAAGAGAGCAGCTTCAAATAGGAGCTTACTGTTTCGAGATGAGCAGTCCCTCTGTGACAGTGACTGACGCGGGCTCTGCGCACCGGCCATTGGTCGACCCAGCCCCACAATCCCCTCCCCTCCCATCCCATAGCCCTAACATGGTCTCAAAAGACAGAGAGGTTCTGGCCCAATTAAAAAACTAGTACGAACAGACAAGTAGCGCTGCTCGCCGACCTTGCCCAGTCGCCATTACTTGATGGACACACCTGTGAAGACCAACTGACAGAGTTCGTATCCTCACATTTCCCAGGTGTCACCCAGGCGCGCGATATCCTATTATCACGCCGATCCAGAGCTGACTGGGCAGAGGTCAACTTTAATGCCCCGCCCGTCGGCCGTGCCATCCGCTTCGGTAGGTCACACGTCGGGTCAAAGTTCATCGGCCAGCTCACAGTTTCAATGTGGTGGTCCCGGCTTCGAGAGGAGTTTGGACAGCCTGACGCCCGAACAAAGCATCACGAAGCGACGTGATTGACCGATGTGGGAGTGTGGGACCTTCCGGTGACAAATTTATTCAAATAGCGAAGTTTGTGGTTTGATCTATTTTTATACTGCTATCAATATTGTTTCGTAAGGTCAGCTAGTAGATGAGCAGGCAGATTCCGGCCCAGTTTGCAATTCTGAAATAACCGGAGGTTGTGCCATGGCGACATGTCGAACACCACATCATAGTGGATTGGCTCGCTTTAAACGATGACAGGTCATATATTCGTTTCTGAACTCGATCGGTCGCGGCACGCCTGGACTGATATGTCACTGCAGATTTGGAAAACGTGTCAGCCATGTCAAACTGTGTTAGAGCTGGGTCATGGGATCCTCGTGGATTCATGAATTGTTTGACTGTAAAAAGAAAGGCCGAACGAGTGAAATGAGTGTCATCACTTTCCTCCATTTGTCATTTCAATGACATGACTGTCATCACTTGTCAAATGAGTGTCATCACTTTCCTCCATTTCCTCCATTTGTTATTTCAAATTTGTCTTTTTCGTGTTATATTTGCACGGAATTTAGACTTTGGATGACAATGTGCTTCGAATATCACAGCTTGACGAAATAAATTATCAGTCAAATCTCACGTTGATGCAGACACATAATAAGGTAAAAATGAAGGAAAAAGAGAGTAACGAAAATGGACTCCTGCACTCTTTTCCGGAAGTCATGCTTGGAAGTCAAATGCTTATCACCATTCACCACCACTTCATTGTTGGTAATAAGCAGTTGGTTATGTATGGCGTAGGTAACTGCCAGTTTCAGTGTATGACTGGATTGACCTCTTCGTTACCAGAACGAGACCCCTGGCTGCAGAATTGCTCCAATACAGCGCTGTGTGCAGTTTGGTAGTCCGCTCGAGACTCCACTAATTACTGGCTGACAGTCGACTATTATCGAAACGCCTGCTGCAAGTGGCAGCCGTTGACATTTACTGAGATAGTTCACTTAGTACGGCGCTGATCAAACGGAACCAGGCGCTAAAAACAACAAAGGGAGGTTGATTCAGAACGTAACCTTCCTCTCCTTCGCTCACTTCTGCCTCCCTGCTCTCTCCGTCGTCTGTCGTTTTATTTCTTCTTCTTCCTTTTTCTGGTTCTCTTATGTTTTCTTTAATTTCACGCTTTGTCACTTTCTCTTCGCCTTCTATGCCTTTCATTTTCTTTCTTTTTGCACTCACTCTGTTTTACCTACTTTACTCTCACCCCAAAAATGCTGAATACAACTCATATCAGGCACGGAACGTTATGTGAGCCTTTAGGCAAAACCAAACCGACTTATCACGCAAGGAACAATAAACTTTGTATAAATATGCATGCTTCGTCGTTCAGCTACTCTGAGGCGAGGTCATTTGCTTTTCACCATCATCAACCTATTCCAGGCCGCCACAGCTCTCCTGGTGCTGCCGAGTTCCTCCTACGCAGAACTCGCCGCTATCCCAAAGGTGTTTTCTCATAATCCAGCCGGCCGACTGCACGCTGCCCATGATAATCTCTCGGACCAGTCCTATGGGATGGCGTCGAGGGCGTGGGGGCGGGCGAATAGACGAGGCGGAACATAGTTAGGTTACATCTCATAGCAAAGTCTGCTGTATTGTGCTGATATAGTGCCTATGTATCCGTGGTCCATAGACAAAGTTGATGAAAATTGATTAGAAGGCACTGTAATCTACCAAGGAATACCATACAAAAACAAGCATCCACTTGCCAATACATACGCCGATGCAAATTTAACGCCTGTGTGCAGCAACCAGCGTTCCATTTCCATTTGGCGAGTGGCCGGGGGCTGTCGTTTTATGGAGCGCGCCTTTCTCGGGACCACCTGGCTGCTCGTTTCCAGTCTCTGGGGACGCCCTGTAATATCAGTGACGGCCTCGCGCCGCCGTGACCGGGGACGCTGCCGAAATGATAGCCTCTCTGGAGCGGCGGCGGCAGATCGGGTCAGACTGCCGAGTGGACCCGAATGGGCGGGTCAGACTGCGGGTCGGACCCAAATGGGCGGGTCAGACTTGGGAACAACCCCAGACAGATCGGGTCAGACTGGACAGCGGCCCCAGACTGGTGACTAGGCTTACCCCGCGTTCGATGTCTCTCGGACGACGAAGATTCTACGTCGTCCGGCCAATCCCGTTCAAGGTCAGGGGGGGGGGGGGGCTCGGCTGTGGTTATGGAACGTGATTGGCCGGACGGCGTAGAATCTTCGCCGTCCGAGAGACATCGAACGCGGGGTTAATAACGGCCCCAGTCGGTCAGATCTGGTTTTAATACCGAATTTGAGATGGCCTGGCTAGTCTCACAACATCGCTGTGCGGTTGCAAGGTCAGACTTGGTACGTCTCTCAGACAGTCGGCACAGCCTCTGTTCACGTGTAAATACTCGTGACTAGTTAGGTACTGTCACAGACTATAGCCGGCTAAACTCTGACGCTTCTGTACTGTTGCCGGGTCAGACTAGTGTCAGGTCAGACAGGACGCTGCGATATACTTTTTTGTCATTCCGACAATGATAATGTCAATGACAGCACCACAGTGATACTGAGGCTGAACAATGTCAGCTTAATGGCAGAACGATAAGAACTCACGTGTAAAAGGGCAGCTTGGAGCCTAGTCGATACCAGAGTACCAGCTCCAGCTTATCGTCCGGGTCAGGCCGGCTGGCTTCACAGGGCAGTGTGACGGCTCCGTCGACCAGTCCCACCACAGTCTGCACCGCCACTGTCGGGAAAACACAGCGTGTTACCAGGGAACGGAACACTGATACCTCACCGCGTACTTACAGCACCGTTTGTACTGTCACTGTAGGAGAAACAATGTGTTATAGTGTTACCGAGGAACAGGATGATGTTACCTGAGTACGAGTCAGTGTTACTTGGCAGAGAGCCAGCGACACCGTTATTTTTTTAGCGTTACCGTCACTGGCGGATCCAGGGGGCATTTGGGGCAAATGCCCCAAGCAGCGCCCGAAATCGATAAAAATGTGTGGTTTTCGAGAATAAAACGAAAACTAAACAACTTTTATGAGGAAAAGTTTGTAGCTTGTTTTGAATTGCACAGAAGTGCGTAAGGAATCGAAATCCGACTATTTATTTGGGACATTGGAGAATTGTTTTGGGTGGCACGCCCCCACAGCGTCCAAGACCGCATTTCTGGATCCGCCAGCGGTTACCGTTTCACCGATTTCGTAGTCAAGACAACTGGTCATCGACGACATGACTAGCAGCATTCTGTCTCTGTTGATGGTGCACCATCAGTCCGAATGCAGACTTTTGAAGCATTTCACAAAATTCAAGTCTTGAGCTTTTTTCCAAAAAGGTAATAATCGGGGCTTCGTTTAACCCGCGCCCCACTGGGGTCTGTGTATAACACGCCCTACTGGGGGGGGGGGGGGGGCTATTCATAGCCCCCCTCCTAACTCCGAAACTGCTGGGCCGATCGTCAAAATTCAAACGGCGTCTGATAGCCCCGGAAAAACTGTCGAAGGAAACCTAATTTCATTGACCTCGAGGTCACCGATGACGTCACAGGTCAGGTCAAAGTAAAAATTATTAGCATTTTGGCTTGTTCACATTTTGGGCTCTGGCCGCCGTCTTACAAGTCAGATCAGGCTCATTTTTGGTTTCCACACTCGTGAACAGATGCTCTAGATACTTTGAGGGTACCAAACTTGTACTTTGATTTTCAGGTCAAGGTCAGGTCATCACAGGTCACGAAAATATTATATCATGCGTCGGTCACGTGACACATGTTTTATGGTCCATTTAGGCCATAGATTTCGAATTTGATGTCGTCTGTGTCATTCGAGGTCATTTGGAGTCGAATTTAGCTTAGGTCAGGTCACTTTCAGGTCAAAAAAGGTCAAATTTTAAAGTTTACATTTTTCAACAAAAAAGGTGTCTATTGGATGCAGTTTGAGCTCAGGAACACGATGGTGCCATTTATATTGGTGTACGATGTCAAATACGTACTGAAAAATTGATTTGAAAAATTAATAATTGTGAATTTTTTGCAATAATGCGTATAACTTGGCCATTTTTGAAGATATTTAGCTAAAACTTGCTAGAGTTAGTCAACATCATGCGTTCTGTCACATATATTCCGGCTTTTTCGAAAAGTCAAAAACTTTTTGAAAAAATATAAATTTTGAATATTATTATATAAAATTTTCGAAATTTTCAAAATTTTGAAAATCCGAGATAGAAGTTTGATAGCGCGGTCAATTCTGAGTCCTTTCATGCAAAGAAATTGGATCTAGCTTAAAAACTGAGCTCTTGGGAGCGATTGCCGTGGTTCAATGTTTTGCGTCGAAATCGGACGAACATGACGTCACTCTGACGTCATTTCCGGCCGACCTATGGTAGCCACGAAGTTCAAATTTTGACACAAGGTGTCAAATTGATGCAGCCGAAGGTACTGGAAGTTTGGCGTCGATCCGTCAAGCGATTTGGAAGTTATTGCAGAAAAACGGGAGGGGGGCTATAAATAGCCCCCCCCCCCAGTGGGGCGCGGGTTAATTAACTTCGCATATACCGCCTATACCGCATGTCTTATGAATCAATTCAGGTCTGCCACTTGAGGTGGACGCGTCATTTATCTAACGCGAATGTGGCAGTTGTCCGACAGTTTGACATTTGACGGTGACATACAATGCGTCGCCGGATTAGTCCGCGTCGCCGCGCGAGTTTTCCAATCAATCGATGGAGTCTTGTCACGTACAGCAATTCAATATTCATTCAATAAAATCGTATTGTTAGGGAAATTAAGGAAACCTTTCAAAAGATCTAATTGAAATGTTTTCAGAGGTTCAGAGAAATTGTGCCCAACATGTAACATTTTGGGCAAAATATTGGTGTCAGCCACTTTTCGTGTCCACCAAGTCCCGTGGTTGTGCGCATGGCGTAATATATCACTGAGATGTGGGGGTAGTTGTCATAGGCCGTTTTCACGACGGAACTTTCGCAGAGGAACTTATTTGATACCTAAAAAGTACCTACCCTTAGAGGCCTTAACATCCCTCAAACTGAAATATTTTATGTTCAAAATAATTTTAGAAGTTTAAATCCGGGCATTTTTTGCCCTCAAATCACTTATTTATTTACAAACACAGCAATTTTTGGTTCTAGTAGCCCACCTTTCGACTATGAGGTATTAAATCAGCGTGGCAACTTGCTCCCTCTTTGCTCCCTCGGGTATCTAATTCCGGAATTCTTAAAAACGAGGAAAGTATATATCGAGTTCTCTTTTATACCTATTCAGTTATGTTTTAATGGTGATTAAAATATGACAAATTTTTTAATTACATTTCATATAAGAAAACACGCAAAACAATGAAACAAAAATAACTACGGCAGATAATTACCTTCAGGTATCTAATTCCGACCAATCAGCACCTCAGTAGGATATGACGTCATACAAGAATGGTGGTGAAGGCCGTTTGCAGTCCCAGCCGGTAGGTCACGTGACCGCCGGGCGCCTCGGGTCACGCGGCGGTCGGGAGTCGGACGCGGGGCGTGGTCGCGGGCGGACGCGCGGGGCATCATGCTTTGCTTTGCTTGCTTTGTCAACTTCATATAACTTACTATCGCATTCGTGTGAAAGCCAAACACTGCTCAGTGCCTTTAGAAATTGAGTTTTCGAAAGCTCAAGTCCCTATAGCTCCTCAGGTCGGCAACAGTTGAAGCCTCATCTGAACCCATGTGAAAAAACGAGGGTAAGGAACCTTGTGTTGCTTTTTCTTTTACCGTCATAATTATCTCAAACCATCACAATTTTGAGTTGCCACATTGTCTGCTTCACTACAGTCGTGTAAAACTTGGGTGAACTGAAGGCTGGTGGCTCAAAGAAAGGTGAAGATATTTCTTTAAGTGCCTAATCCGTGAAATTGAAATATCCCGGCTTTACAAATCTACACTTTTCATTTTCTCCACGATACATTTTTTAAAATTGTTTAAATTTTATCTACATTTGTTAAAATCGGGGCTTTGGTTTTGTGTAAACTAGATCATAAAGTTTACTATAGTTTTGTGTAGCCTGATGGCTGAAGAAAATAGTAATTTTGCTAAAATGATGTGCGGAAATTTGTTGCTTTCCAAATCAAATTACTCATACCTATATTTCATTCAAAATTAGGAGGCATTATTACTGTTTTTTCTTGTAACATGAACTGAGTTTGGGTACGGTGCTCCGGAAACGTTGTGGAACTTTAAGCTAGCTAGAGCAGTTTCCATAAGAATTGTTTAGATAGTTGACATGGCTTGTTGACAACTCTTTTGCTGTTTCTAAAAAAGTGAAAAAAAATATTTTCCTGCATTAAGCACACAAGGCATGTTATTCTCATAAGCTATCGAATGTGTGTGTTTTTTTAAGCTGTTTTTTAAGCTTTTAAGCTGTAACTTCAGTTACTTCACTTTAGAACATATTGCCCAGAATGCGTCACTGATCATGAGCTGGTATATCATATCATATGTAGCAAATACATAAATGAGAATAGTGTGTCATGAATTTTTGTGCATGCTTCTGGATCATCTGTAATTACATCAAAGGCTCGGCTCAAGAGTGTCCTGCCGACCAGCTTATGCCCAACCCTTTCTGTCCGCAGAACGTCGCCTGCGACTCCCGCACGCCGTTTGCCCCGGCCGTCCGTACTGGTCTTCGCGCTGCGAGCCGCGCTGGAGTTCGCGGCGGCGTCGTGGAGCTCCCATCGGGACGGCGTGTGATGCCCGCGTCGAGCTTATAAGCCGTGAGCTTCGATTGGCGGCTCACGCGGTCACCAGCTGTATGTACAGCCTCGGCCCCGACGACCCCGCTAATGGCCGAGACCGGCATACCCCCGGCATGGGTCCGCTGTCCGGCGCAGCGCTGGCGGCCCGCATGCTATGCTACTTTTGGCTGTATCGCTGCCCAGCGGGAGCGCGCTCCACGCTGCTGAAGAGGTACACGTTGCGACCCGACTGAGGACTGCAACCGGATGGTGACACGTCGGCCTCTGCGCCCTGGCCGGGGCAGGCGTGACCGACGTCACAGTGGAGGAACGCCCAAACAAGACCAGCCCACCGTCGGAGCAGCATGGAAATATTATGTTCTGCCTGGACGTCGGACCCGGCGGCCGCAGTGCACCTGCACACGTGCGGAGAGGGGCGCTGGAGGCTACTCTGGAGCTTCTGCCATTCCGCGGCGCGACTGCTGGAAAAACGGCGGCGATTGAGGCGGTTGGGAACAGCTGCAGCAATGGTGATGGCGGTGATGGCGACATGGCGGTTTGGGACTTCATCTTCGGCTTGTCAGTTGTTAACGTGCCTTAACAGACGTTGCGAATAGCCCGCGTTGGAATCGCATGGTTGGGAACACAACGCAAGTAAAAATGGGCTTCCTTGATGAACCTACTTTTTAAGCATTGTAGCCTTTGTAATTTTGGATGTTTTGCTGTAGATATTATTTTCTACATATATACTATATAGGCACTCACGCGCTTTAAATCGCGCAATGCAATTGAACCATGGTAAAGACAATGATAAATGAACTGAGAGCTGACATGCCCCATGCTTTGTGTGTGTATGTGTGTGTGTGTGTTTTTTTTTTTGACGAGTCGATAAAAGTGGTTTTGGACACTGGATGAGTTTTTAGGGGTGTGGTGAGGGGGGATGTAATTCCACAGACCTTCTGTCAGATTCACTAATGCAGTAGGTCTGTGCGGTGTTTAGTTATCGGAGCATTCTTTG